AGCACAATCGTGTGCCACACCATGAGAAGGCATGAGAAGCAGGTAAACATGGCCTTGGCCACTCAGCAGGAGAACACTTCTAAAACGTGATCATCCAGAATATTCCAGAATCATGGTACAATGGCGTGAGGCGCCTCTCACAAAGAGGGGATCTCCAAGATGCATGTCTGCAGGCCCAACTTCAAGATCCCCATAGGCGGAGACCACATCGAGCGCAAGATGGCAGATGCAAGCTCAGCAATCTTAAGCCTTTAAGCCCTGGGGAGCTTCCGAGAGTGCTTGGCCAACATCACTGAAACGTGACGCAGCCTGTCGCAGTCACGCGCGCCATCTGTATCCACGTTTTGGTGCCCACTGACGCAGGTCAAGGCAAGCCCGATTTTGAATGGGCACCAGTCTCAAACATGATTTGAGTTGACTCAGGAAGGCTGGGGAGCTGGCTACCGAGCAGGACCAATGGCTTCGAGTGTGGAAGCACCTGCCCACGCTGCCCATTGTAAATTCCGTGCACAAGGTGCACCATCCTCCCACTAGCCATATAGATTCTACTAATCCATGACAGCCTCAGCTTCAGCCAACAGATTAATGATCCCCGCTGCAAACACGCAGGCAGAATGTGCTGATGGATCTCTCTGTGCGCTGCCCCTGTCCCCCACCCTCCGCAGGCATATCTCTGCCCTAAAAAGCACACTCCGTGCCGCACAAGTGCCAGTACGAGTACTACAAGCACAGGCACGGACACGAGTACTGGTACTACTAATACTAGAAGTAGAAGTAGTGGAAAAAGAAGTAATTGTTGTTGTTGTAGCAGCAGTAGCAGTAGAAGCAGCAACTGCGAACAGCCACGCAAGACACGGCACTATGGTGGCCCCGGTATGCCCCAGTTCTGAGCAATGCACACAACTGTGGTTTACCTCCATGCACATGATAGTGGTGCAGGGAAAGTCCTCTTTTGAAACAGTATCTCCAGAAAAGGTAGTGTTGTAGGACCAGAATGGAGCAGCAGCAGGCTGAGGGCTGTACCCCATGCGCCGCATTGCCGTGGAAAGATCCACATGCTTGATGCGCAGGTAACCTGAGGGCAGCAACAAGGTCCCAATAACTTGCAGCAAACTCAACTTCGAATGCTCATCAGAACTGGCTTTTTCAGATCGCGTCCGGGCTCCAGAGATGAAACCTCGGGAGGCTAGGTATTGCCGGGTCTGCCTGAGCTGAGCTGTCACCACTACCTTGCACATAGGCTGCAGATTGTCTCAACTCTGCCCAGAAGTTGTTCAGTTCCCATCAAACAAATGGCCTCTCTACTGGGACATGAACAAGCAGCAGACGACCTCACTACCTGGACATGAACAATGAGGTGTCTGTTCTTTCGGAACTAAGCAAGGAATGATTGGGGCATAGAAGCCTTGAAAGGGATACAACTCCCGATAAGATTCAGGCATTCTTTGAATGCCCATCACTCCTAGTCGACTTAATCCAGAGCTGCTGTCCTTCCGGGCCTTTGTGAGCCCTAGAATGGGGCCTGCGCAAGTTGTCCATTTCATAACTGCTGTTTCATGAAGGGCAAGCTAAATCAAGGTGGGTGGAGAGGGTGTGCCTGCATGATGATTCGGCACTGGTGCGCCTGGTGCTGCAAGGACTCATCTGCACAAGGCATTTGCAAAGTCAACTTCTGACTGCTGAACTTAGCAACAACAGCTTCTCTCATGAGGGTTGACCTTTCGCATCAGACTTTACCCTCAAGATTGTACGAACTCTGCCAGCAGTCAGACTTGCTTGGGCACGCTGGGCCCAAGCCACACCCATGAACCTACGACCAGCAGCAGCATCAGTTCGAGCTCAGCCAGCTGAACGCCCATTTGCTCTATTCCTGTCATGCCTAAAGCAACGCGTGCAACGTCCTGTGGTGGATCATTGAAGGAAAGATATGGATGCAGCTGCACATCAGTGAAGAGTGACCACACCAAACTTGAACCGTAGCCATTATATGGGCGGAACCCTATCAATTTATGTGTATATATATATATATATACTTATTCATGTATATGTGTGCCCGTATGTACCCATGTTATGGCAATTTCAACCCGAAACCCTACACTAGTCAGAAACTTTCTCGCTTGGACCGTCTTTGAAGCCGGCCGTGCTTGAGCCAAAGATTTCGGGCACTTTCACGGTCTGCCATGGCCAAGGAGACAAGCTCTGAAATAGCAATACAGGGTATATGGGGCTTAGGGTTTGGGGTTTAGGCACGCGCATCGTATTGGCAGTTTAGGGTTTAGGGTTTGGGATTCAGAGTTTCGGGTCTCAGTTACCAGAATATATTTAATAATTAATAAGGTTTCTCCAGAATAGCACATCTTACCTGCGCTCACTGCCACGTAATGCTCCCAGCAGCCTCGGGTTGACAAACGCATCCATCCTTTCTCTCAGAGCACGCTGGAACAGGAATAGCGAAGGTATGAAGCTGCCATGCCATAGCCTTCGGCACGCAGTATGGCAACCTTTCCAACCCCAAGTCTCGGAAAGCTCAAACTGCTCGGGCTGCGTTTTAATCCGTCAGTGGGTAACACCTAACAAGTTATCCTGCATTGATGTCTGAACCTGCCAGAAGTGGGAATGTCACCCAAGCTGCTGACAAAGCCAGCTATGATCCGGCCAGGCCTCCGAGCAAAATTCTTGCACTTTCAGCTTGCCTCCGCTTGGACTGGTGACTCGTGCGCTGATCGAGTATGAAACTGTGTGCTTTCAGCACAGTAAGCGCGAAAAGCAAAGGTGTCTCAGCTTTGGCGCGAATGGGTCCCAAAATATGGAGGGATAATGGAAAGAACATGGAAGCTACTATAATGGAGAATCAAATGGAAAAGAAAATGGAAAATGAAATGGAAACTGGGGTTATATGGGGATAATGTTGCATTCTGGTGCTATGACAGTATCTCAGAGGCCTCTTCGCGCTTCAAATGCTGGATGTATCTCTGTTCACACATATTGCATAGGCAGCTTAGAGCTAGGAGCTCCAGTTTAGGAGCTCCCTCTCAGTGAAGATCCACCTAGGTTCCCCAGTAAACCATAAATAATAAGGGTACCCTTTTTCCTACTGTTCTGCTTTAATAAGGAGACCCCCAAACAAAAAAGGTAAAAGGCTACTACTGGGGGTACCTATGGCTCAACAATATAATCCCCAAACCCTAAACCCTATATAATCCGATTATGATAGTTTCCATCTTCTTTTCCATTATCCCTAGATAACCCCAATATAGTAGGGTACCTAGCCACACTTTTGGCCCGATTGAAGAGCCGGAGGAGCTCTGCCTGACTCTCTCGCTTGTGGCGGCTGGCTGCCTCAGGATCCAAGCAGTCAGAAAGGCTTCCCAGACCCCCAAAAGGATCTAAAAATTAGATCCCCCGAAACCATAGGGGGAATTATATGAAGATTATATAGGGGTTATAATGGGTCTATATAGGGGATCTAATTTTTAGATCCTCCCAGGGGGCTGGGTTTGGCTCCCCTCCTACATAGGGGATATATAGGGGTTAGGGATTTCGGTTTGGGATTTCCCAAGAATTAGAAATACCTTTTTGGGGGCCCCTGTTTAGGGAAACTACCATATATCCATACAATACCACACACAACCCCCATTTGAAGGAAGGGATAAATTAAGTTACCCCAGTTTCCATTTCATTTTCCATTTTCTTTTCCATGTGATTCTCCATTATAGTAGCTTCCATTTTCTTTTCCATTATCCCTATATAACCCCAATATATAC